GGGTCCCTATGGGATATGCCTCGACCTAAAACCCCATATTCATATGGGTTTAGGTCGAGAATATGGGATGTAGGCTGCACGCCTGCCTGCAAGCGATGCAGCCTCGCTCAACGGTTGGCGTGCAGCGTCGCACGCCAATCGTAAATTGGCGTGCGGACCCGCACGCCAACCCTGCTGGGGTAATGCCCGCGCAGGGGGCTGGCGTGCAGGTCCGCACGCCAATTTCGATTGGCGTGCGGTCCCACACTCCATTCAGAGAAGGGAGTGTGGGAGTGTGTGTGCGAAGGGGGGTGGAGTGTGATTATCACTCCCCAAAGTGGTGCAACCCATCTTACTGTACACCATCACCAGCAAATTTGGGGTCCATCACCAATATTTATTGTAGATTTGGGCTTTTTGATGGCAGTAGCTTCCATAGATAAAAGGGCTAAGCTCCCACTGCTCCAACAAAAAAGTTTTTTTATTTGGGATCAAAATTTTGGAATCCATGGGCCTAAATGTCCCTACAGTCTCATATTCATGTACTTAACTCTGATAACACATAAGTTTGGCTTCTCCCAACAAGGCTATGTGCATGAATTATAACCTAAATTACATTTTTGTTGCTGCCAAACATGGTAATTTGACTCTGGGTTGTAATTTTTTCCAAACAAGTGGTAAAAATTGCACAATTTCTAAAATTTCCAAGCCCCAAAACCTAAATTTTCCTTGGATCCTGCCCTTCCCGGGGCAGATTTTCTTGATTTTTTTCCTCCAAACATTTCAGAACCCCAAAATCCATGTACAGCCAAACCAAGAAAGCTTGCATCTTGGTTGGCGGAAGATTCAAAAAAAAAAAAACCAACTGCAGTCGGAATTTTTGGAGGAATACAGCACCCTGTATGCCCATTCACATGCAGTGGTTACTTCAGGGTAAAATCCCTATCTTTTTTTCCCTCAGTTCCAGGTCATGAGAGTAAGACCATCAGGATCCTGAGGGAAAGTTTAGTCAAACCAGCCCATTGAAATGCGAACCACCCATGCCCCTGCCCCCCTGTAGGGCTGGCTGGTTGGGTCCCCGTAGGGCTGGCTGGTTGGATCCGGTGTGGTCCTGTCGGTGCTACCAGCAGGTATGTTGGAACCTGTATGATGGCTGTATTCTTCCAAAGATTCCGACTGCAGTTGGGATTTTTTTTTTCTGAATCTTCTGCTAACCGAGACACAAGCTTTCTTGGTTTGGCTGTATAGTAGGATGATTTGCGCCACTGTAGGTTCCCTGATAAACGTGTGCTGAATGAATGAAGGTGAATTTCTAAGGATTCAGGAGACATTTATGTATCAACAACTGATTACAGTGATGTTATGTAGGATTTAGATCAGGAGACAGATAATGAATAGTCACAAGAGAGCAAAAGGGAAATGAGATGCAGAAAGATACAAAATTCCAACACAAGTCCACCTTGTCCACAGACTCCAGAGGTATCCCCCCTGCCCTAGAAAAGGTGCTTAATTTCAAGACCAAACTTGGTTTGAAAAAACATACATAAACAACTTCGCTTTCCATAGAAATAAAAATATCTGTTTCATATCTCCAGTAGCATTACAAAAGAAAAAGAAAACAACACAAGCCAAAACAGTGCAAAAAAGGACACACCTTGATAATGCGATAGAAGAGGATTGCGCCAATTGATTCATGACCATTGCAACATCAACTCATGACTACCGTAAGTTTACGGGTCTTTGCATAGGCCAGCCTCAGGGGGAGGACGAGAGTATAACTGAGATTAAACCCAGCCTAGGTCTTCGGAGCCCGTCGAGGCTTGAGACAGGAAACCTGGAGAGATGTGCCTCTGTGCGGGAAGTTCTCCGGGGCACATGAAATAGAGGCTCGCACGTCGGTAAGGAACGACAATCGATTGTAAATTGCAATGGCTTAAGATACGCATATTCTTGATTAACACATGTAGATAGTTCCTCCCCAATTGACTCAAGGCATTCTAGCAAAGATTCAAACATGTCATGTAGGTGAAGAGTAGTCAGACGTCACGTGGTCGAAGGACAGGTGGCACGTTCGAGTTCATAAAAGCTTGATATTTGGCTGGATCACCTCGGGAGATCGTCTAAGAGGTAGGAGTGTACAAAAATCATGGCATTGCATACTTAAACGATTATTATCACTCCGCAGGAACAGGAAGGGGCATGGGCGATAAAGTTCGAATGTGATGCTTTGCAGAGATTGTAAGGATGTAGAGATAGCATCAACCAATTTTACGATCGAGGTTTCTCCTACGTACCGAGCAAAAATGTGGGAATCAGAATCAGCACAAAATCGGGGGGGGCGGGTCTCATGTGTGACCTAGATCTGTGGGTCATGGGGCTTACCTTCTTCTCGAGCCAAAGTGCAAGCAATCCCACACCAGATACTTTGACAACTTTGAATCGCACCTAATTGAGAAGCAGAGATCAGGACGTGGATCTTCTTGAAGTGGTAGACGGACAACTGCATGAAAATCACTAACACCAGGAATATCACCCTTAGCTTTACCTGCCCGACCGAAACCAGCAACCAAAACCTCGTCGTTGTCATCCCTACCGGAAAATAGGATGCCAGTTGAAGGAGGTATAACATTAGCAAAGATGGTGCATTTCTAGCTGTTGATCTTCCAGGCTTAATTCGACTGACAAAAAGTTCAGACAACCATCGTTGGGGACGAAAGCAGTGATTTTCTTTCCGTTCTTGATCAACTGAACTCGCACACACTTTCGGATGGCGGAGTTGGGCTGTTTGGCTTCAACACCGACCTAATCACAACCAAGTTAACAAGGCAGAAGTGCAGCGCAGAAATTGATACATTAAAGTAGGGTCAATATGCTGTTTAACGATTGTTGGCCTGATCGAATGATGGGGTGAGAGACGCAATGGTGGCAGGGGTTCTGACCTTTTCAAGTACGATTCCCTTGGCGTGGGAAGAACCTCCGGTAGGAGATGACCGGTAGGCGGTACCCAACGCTCGCTTCTTGTAGGACTTGTCGGCCCATCGGTTGTCTCGTCGTTGATTCCTGAGCTTACGGGCAGCGTGAAGACCTCTTGGCTTACAGGCACCCACTAATTTTGATTTCGTTTCATTTAGCGTTTGTTGACCATTTTTCGAGTTGAAGAGAAGTGTTTCGATAGAATAGGAAAAACCGAGACAAAAATAAAAATAGGGTTGATGATCAGTTTCCAATGGTTTGCTTGTCTTTTTTTTTGGGGGATGCGTGTTCTGATTCGAAGCTGAGCTAGATGTCTAGTCCGACGTACTCTTTCGTTCTTATCTTGAGGGTTGATGTACGATCGATCGAATGCGGGTCCCAGGCGTCTTGATGTTCCGGTTGGCTCATCCACCCCCGCCCGGCCAATCGTAACCACCCATCTCGCTGCTGGTGGGACGATTAGGGCTGTGCGGACTGCGCAGTGCCTGTCTCATCATCCGGGGTCCCGCACACCGCCCACCGCTGATCCGATCTACCACCCGGGTCTCGGTCTATTGAGTTCGCAAACCGGGGTGAGGCTCGGGGTTTTGAAAGCACACCCCGACGCATTCCGAGAAAAGAATCCGGCTTCAAGCAATCAGGATAACGGTTGAATGCGAATACCGAGAGACCGCAGTGATATCTCAGCAGATTTTTTTTCAAATCGATCAGGTGGGTAATCACGGCCGCTCCGATTCATTTTGGCCTTTTCTGATGTTAAGAAGAATGAGGATCGGAAACCATAATGGTAAGAAGAGTCGGGCAGACCTGCGTCTCCTTTTGTTTTCTCCCTCGCCCACGTGCCTCTCATGATACTCTGAGGCTAGTGCCAGCTTGGCCAGCAGGCATTTGGCCCAGCTCTTACGATACATAGCA